CCCCAAAACCCCAAAACCCCAAAACCCCAAAACCCCTGAAAATGTACTAATATTGATTATTTACGACTGCAAGGGTATTTATTAGTTATGAACAGACTTGAGGGATTTTAACAATGAGCTATTCTTCTTTGTCTTCAGAGAAGCCTTCCTTAAAGATAGAAGGGATTCGTACTTCTTTGCCTCATCTAGATTTCTGCCTTGCATATTGTGTCTTCGACTTAAGGATCTCTTTTGAGAGCTTTTAGATATAGAACTTTGGTTTTTTGAGATAATGCTTTTGAGATAGCTCTTTTGAGCAGGCTTGATCCAGCCGGACTGAGTGTAATAGGATAGCTTTTTGTGAGATTTTGAGTCAGATAGATACTGGCACTTCCTTGAGCTTTTGGAGCTTATCTTCGAACGAGTCTTTTGGTTTGCAATTTTTGAAGAACTTCTACATTTTCCTAATTTCATACTCCTAAAATGGATATTATTTTTAATTTTCACTTTGAGTAACCATTCTAAGTCGACAATAGAACTCGTATTTACAAAATATATTAAAAGAAGCTTTAGGAATAAGCCTAACATTTAACACTTCAGTGGTTTCTAAGCCAGAAGTATGAACATCTATAGGATCTATAGGGATTTGAGAATTTAATGATAATTATTGATTTGATTAAATTAGTGGAAACTCAATTTCTATAGCTAAAATTCAACTCTTTACAGTCTATATCTTATTCTATAAACTATCAGTTTAATTAGACTCTTGAAGAGATTGTAATGCTCCTTTTGAAGAATTTTTGAACAGAAAGCTAGAATTGGGGTTGAAAAAAACTAAGAGTATTTAATTTTTGAAATTGTGGCTCTAACGTTTCGCTCCATATGATACATTATTAACTATTTGGACTGAATAGGCTAGCCAGATAGGTCTAAAGATATATATGCTTAAGGATTTCAAAAAATCTTTCAGGTTCGTTCACAAAGTTCAAGAGCAAAGCTTGGAAGGTAAAGGAAATTTCTGAAAAATTATCTATATCAAGATATCCACAATTTTTGCGAAATAAAGTGTTCAGCAAACACTCTTTAGCTGGTAATAAAGGATCTAACAGCCCAAATATTTGTAGTAGGCGTTGTTATAAGTACTTCTTTAAAAATCTTTACTAAAATCTCCTTCTCTAAGCAATCCTACTACAAATGAAAATATTCAAAAATGTTTCAGAAATCTTCATTGCACTTTTTCAGATTCTGCTTGCAAAAAGCTCAAGCATATCCGTGAAATTACCTGTTTGTGCTAATACTCTTATTTTCTTGCAGAATGGGCTGCACTATTCCTTGAAGACTTTGAGAAGGATCGGATGGATTTACTGATATCGTACCTAAAATCATTTAGATTCTTTCATTAGAGATGTTAATACTATCATCCCATAAGGCATAGTTATAGATCAGAGCGAGTAAAAACCACTGTTTTCACCACAGGAGCTTACTTTTTCCTTATAACAGCTACTTCGACATCCTTCTTAGTTGAGGAATACTCCTTGTTGGGAGCAAAAAGTTTCTTATTTTGTACAATTTTTATTGAAGTTCTTGGACTTGTTAAAATATTCAAACCTTCATCCTCCCTTGTTTAGATAGTTTGTACTAGATTTTGTGGTGCCCGGTCAGACCTTTTTAGTCTTCTTAGGGATCTTGTACTCTGGTGTTAGCGCATATGAGCTTGAAGAGTTATGATGAGTGGAGATATTTAGGAAAGAACTGCTATTATAGCTCTTTTCAGCACTGAAATTAGGTCCGTGGTCAAAATTCTTATTCACCATGCTGCATACTTTAGAGGATTTTTCAAAAATTAATGAATTTTGAAGCTTATTCTGAGACTTAACGCAGGAAGAATAAACTTTGGAAGCTTTTAAGCTATTATTTCCAAGCTTCAGTGGATTGTTCTGTGATCTGAAGGCCATGCCTTTAGAAAGGACCTGGATCGAGTTAATTTTACGATTCTCTCCACTTTCTGAATTAGTGCGGTCATCTGATTTACTTGAGCTTGAAATTTCATCGGATTTACCTAAATTAATAAACTAGGACCACTGCTTACATTCTTCTTCCTTCGATTTTCTTAGTAATCTATTTTCCGGCTTCGAAGATAGATGGTTACAAGAGAATCTTTTATTTTTGAAAATTTTATAGTTCTTATTTTCTTTGGGTAAGGCACTCTGGATCTCTTTTTTAAATTTAGGAAGCGAGCTCAAAGCCTAAAATAGTATTATGTTTAAAATTGTTGAGCTCTTACATTTCATTTGAGTTTAGAGTATGTTTCATCATCAAAAATGGTAGCAATTTTGAGATCCTGTCCTATTAAAGTGGTTAGACCAAAGTATAGAAATACTAATCAATTCTCATGCTTACTTCAAGGCTGGTCGGGGAAAGTTGAATGTCTCTTGTTTGTTGTATTAAAAATACTAGTATTTCTGTTATCATCTCTTTGAATACCTAGGATTTTTATGAAGGTAAAGAGTACTTTTTGGTTCAAGATAGTTGCTGTCATGGCTATTATTTCCATGACCCACTATTGTCCATACTTAGTGAAGTTTCTAATGCATTAAATAGAACAATGCTAGATTCTTCACTATATCAATTATTAATCTTGGAGTAATACGTCGGGCATGGTGATTCTGAGTCAAACTCAGGTTGTGGTTTCATGTATCATTCTCTTAACTTCTCTCCTGGTCGGAGGTCGTTAGTCCTATTTATTAATTATTATTCCCCTTCCTCAGACAAATCAGATATTTTTAGAAAATCCAGAACCCGATCATTATATAATAAAAGCCATGTCATAAAAGATGAAATCTTAAGAGATTGGTTCAAATAGTTTTCAGCAGATGTAAAAATACCTCTCATCATTTGAAGGTTAAATCTTGGGACGATTTGGAGAAAACTGACAAATTTGTGCTTATCCCCTAATCAACCCAGTTTACTTCAAAAAACTACTAGTCTCCTCATAACCACTTTACTAAAGTGCATATCCTTAGCACTTAATGTTCACTAATGCTTACTTGATGTTATTTCTGAGTCAGTGTTCAGCCATTTGATTAAATATATTCTATATAAAGGTAAACATAAGGGGTTTTGGGGTTTTGGGGTTTTGGGGTTTTGGGG